AACCCCCCGTTTATGCCAACTGCCATCAAAGCTCACTGTCAGATCTATAAGTGGACTAGGGCCTATTTCAGGATCTGGAGAGGGACTATTTGCCTCACGAACCTCGCAACGGTTAGCTCAAGATTATGCTCAACATTTTTTATAGCTGTGTCAAGTAAAGCATTTTTATGGGCTCTATAGGGTTTGGTCTACATTGATTTGGTATTCATATGCATGGAAAAGGTTTCCATGCCTCTTAGGCCTTTGCCCACAGCATTGAATGTATGAACCATTCTTCGATTTATGTCGAACGGAGGCGCTTTACCAATCTGGTTGATGTGTCAAATGTTGAATTATAATCACAAACATTACATGAGATATGGAAAGTGTGAGCAAAACCTCTGATACTTCTTGTTTCCATCAATGATGTGTTTTCAGTAAAACAACTAGGACAATGAAATAGGCCTACAAGACCACTGAGTTGTTTAGCATCAACTAAAATGTATGAATTCGCATTTTAAACTATTTAAATTGCATTGTTATAGCTGCTGTTTAACGCAAATCCAGTTTTGTTTACTTCTATTTCATCATCAGAAACTTCTTGAGTAAAAGATCCATCAATATGACAAAGTCTAGACATACCTTCAGATGCTGCACTGTTGCTAAGCTCACCTGTATCTAGGCATTTTCCTTGCTCAACAGTATTTTTATCCAATATTACTGTTCAGTACTAAATAAAGAATTATAATATGGAAGAAAAAAAAGTCCACAGTTTTCCACAAAAGGTACAATACATTTTTGTAACTAGATATTTGAAGGGCGCACGGGAAAAACGATCATAGTCACAAAAACAAAATTTTCCAGAAACGCGATTTTAAGGTTTTATTTAGTGTTAAAGAGTCTAAAACTACTTTTTATTTAAGTTCATGACACATAATATGCTAGTGAGTACATTTATGTACCTATTGTACTATTTGTTAAAATCATTTTCTTATTTATAGTATGTAAAAAAAAACCAAACAAATACATACCTTCCAATGCAATAACGATCATAGTCATCTGACTATGATCATTTTTCCACAACATGGCCTATACCCACTAGCAATAGAACAACGTCACCTAGGCCTACTGATACATTTTACACAGTAATTACATAGTATTTTTTTTATCCATAGCAATACACATTTTCTCTGGTCTTGATCTGCATGCCTTTCTACAACATCTTTTTTTGTATAGAATTGTTCTGCCAATGTTTTGTGTTCAAAGTTTTGTAGTTTCAGATTCTTTTCTTCACCCTCCAAATGCAGTAAAGCATTTTTATCATCTTGGACGAACTCTTTTTTAACTTCAATTTCTTTACGTTTTTCTAAATACTCATCTCACGCACTGCAGGTATCTGTACGAGGATACCCGAAACTCAGATTGAATTTTGTAACAAAAACTTGCCTATAACTTTCATAAGACACTTCATTTTGTGGGTAAAGATCTAAATACATGGTATGCATTTTTTTATATTTAGTTCTTCTGATAAATACTTTTTCTTCGTGTCATGAAGGCTGTAATGAGCATTCCTGGCCTTGAAAGACCGTATGTGTTCACTGATTAAGTTCATTGTGTCTTGATTTAACTTGTGAGGTCTATTTTTGTGTTTTCCCCTACCATCAATAGGGGCCATGCCTCTCATTGCAAGTGATTTTTTTTATAGTTTGCGTTCTTCTATTTGTTATACCGTAAATTGACATGAATCCCTTATGACAAACTGGTATCTCTATACAACAGTTATCTCTTATGATACGAAATTTATAAGAGTAACTATATTCATTTGGTGTCAGGCTTATACCAGCCCTAGGCCTACGATTTGATAATACAGTTGGAAAATAAGAGTAGAGTAAATTTTACTCTACTCTTATTTTGAAACCTTTTAAATCACACATGATATTAAAACACATTCAAAATGAAACCACTGACAGCATTTCTTACATTCTACACATACACCATCATCATCTGTAGCATACACTCCACAAAGGTTTACCAGTAAATTCGACTCATATACACTTTGCTCACAGTCACTTTCTTCAGTCTTTTTGCCGTTTACTTTGACTTAGGCCCACTTCCCTTGACTTTCTTAGGTTTTTTCTTTGCTGCTGCTTCTTTTTCTCGCAAACGTTCTAAAAGATCACTGTCAGTAATGCCTTCTCCATATTCAAATACAGTTGAACACGACAGTTTTTGCGTTTAAGATTTTCAGCCTCTGGTGTTTGAGATTTAAAAAAGTTGAGTAAAGCATCCTGAATAGATAATGGTGTTGTTTTGGAATTACATTTTTCATTTTCAAAGGAATTGTGTAGGCCTACAGGTGACACCACTTCATTTTCTTCTTGGGTGGATGTGTTATTCAAACATATACCGGTAACAGCTGAGCTGAGCTGTTGGATATTACACCCAAAACCTTAGAGGGTCTAGAAACTCCTGAACAAGAGGGACCTGCCTTGTCATTGAGAATTGACCCCTCTGAACACTGTTGTTGGTTTGGTACACATGAAGTTTTAACAACTTCGTGAGGAAAATTGTCATTTCTTTTGAACTCAGCATTCCTGAGGACATCTTTACTAAGTGGCCAAATCCCGCTGGCCTTAAAACCACTGATCGTATTACACCCCTTAAATCCCTGAATCCAACACTTGTTTAAAAGCCCTGAAAATTGGGGTTTGGTGATTTTGGAAAATCTGTTTAGCCAATCTTGCAATATTTTTTCCATGTTTTTTTCAAAGGACCAAAAACAGCTACATCTTAAGGTTGGAGAACTAGGGATGAATGTGAGGGGAGGCGCAACAATATAATATTGTTCTTTATTGCAGCCTCAATTACTGCAATCGAAATGTGGGAGTTGTGGCCATCAAATATTAGTACTATGTTCCCCTTGATGTCCTTCACCTTCGGTATAAAAGCTTTGATGAACCATGATGTGAATGCATCAGTCTCCATCCATCATTTAGTGACTGTGTATGTGGCACCTGGGTGACCACCTTCGGTCCATGTTGAATTCATTTTTTTAGCTTTGTATATCACAAAGGGAGGCCACACCTTGCCGGCTGCCGAACAACATGCAAGGACAGATATTTGTCCGCGACCAGAATTCCCCTATGTCAGTGACAACTCTAGAGCCTTTCCTTGCTAGTGCAAAGCCTGTAGATGGATCAGTAGAAAAGCCAGACTCGTCACAGTTAAATACCTGATCAGGTTGTTTGATGTCATACTTTTTAAATGTCTGTTCCAAACACTCATACCATTTTTCACCAACTTCCATTGTCAAACATTTCATCCTTTGTACAGGCATTTGCTGAGACAATATTAGGATGTCTTGCTAAAAACCCTGACAGCCAATCAGGGCCAGGATTGCCACAAGTTCCTCTTCCTTTACTAGCCAGGTACTCCCCTACCATAGTGCACTCATTTCTCCTTAAACCCCATCCCGATTCGGCAAGTAGGGCGATACCTTCTGCAAGGTCCGATTCTTCCTGTTCTCTGAGCAATGTAAATTTTCCTGGATCCGCTGTTAAAGGGCAAGCGTCGTTAACTCTACGCAGAAGAGAGTGATAATCCACTCCATAGACTTCTGCAGCTTGTCGAATTCCAAGTTTGCTCTCCATCATTGCTTGAAAAGCTAAGGTCATATTACTGCTGTTCTTGTAATTGCACCTTCCACCTTCTCCGGGAGGTTTTTTCACATATTTTCTCGGCATTGCCTGGGGAGAAAAGACAGACATTAATAATAAAAAATAAAAAAATGTAGGAAAAGAATAGGGCCTACTGCATTTAAATCAATTGAATACAATAAATATATACATTGGTCAACTAATAGTAAAGTTTTTAATCTTTCTTTCTTGAAGATAGGTGATTTTATAATGGGTGCTTATTACCCCGACAGTAAAGTTCTAAAAACTATTAGCTGGTACATGAACCAGACTTCTTCAAAGTAATAAAACAAACACTGTTGTAATGCTATTTAGATGCTCATTTTAAAGAATATAACAGTTTGGCCATTAAAAAAGTTATGAAAAGTGTACTTACGTTTAGTTTTTTTCTATTTTCATGAAGATAAAAGCTTCTTTCACAATAGAGCGTGTTCTTTATTCTGGTAAACTGCAAACTCAACTCAAACTGAAATGAATTGTAGGAATGGAGGGAGACATTTGGAGGGAAAGAACTGGTACTATTAAATGTCAAAAAATCATGTGCTGCTATGAGAAAACAAATAAACAAATATATTGGTGCTTATTATCCTGGTGGACTAGAATATGGCCCCTAACCAAAGTTTGTTATATTGAATCACTGGGTTATAATTCCATGTATAACTGGAAACTGTAATTTGTTGTGTAAATTTTTAAGCACCTGCATTTAATATTGGATACCGGGAAATCATTCCATAAATAGCTGTACAATATTCCTCGTAAATTGAGGATGCAATTAATTATTATCTCCACCATCTGTGATAATAAATTCCTATTAAAGTCATAATTATTGTATTTTATAGCCCAATTTTAGGGCCGGGAAAGCTTTATAAAGTATCATTGATCTACATAAATTTTGAATTCTATAAGAAAAATGTATTTAATCCAAAACTATTCCTCATTATGTTGTTTGATAATCGTGACAAAACTTCCAAAAAGATACAATTGTAAGGAATATATACAAAGGCTACCCGTCCAAGTAGAAAATTAAAAAAATGTTCGCCAATAAGGCAATTTATTTACCAAATTCAAATCATTACTGTACTTCAAATCCAACCCTTGAACACATTGGAATACTTTAAAATCAGCACAATTTCAGAACGTCCAATAATCAGTTCTGAGGAACTCTATTCCGTTTGTACCCCATCTCATTGTAATGCTAGGTTTCAAATCTAGCTCAAACAAAGAACTTGTGTTGTACTCAAGTAATCAAGATTTCACAAAGACTGTTTCAATTGTAAACAAGATGTGCTAATGCGACTTGAACAGATGCATTTTCTTTGTTCGCAGCCAGAGTTGTACTCAAAGGAGATGATGCGCCAAGGTTCTGAAGATTCCGACAATGTAGAAATGGAGTATTGTGGTAAGCTGCACTTCGCACTGAAATTCGACTCGGAAATGGACGCACTGATTGTTAAGGTAATTGGAAATTGATTATAATGAAGGAGTTGACGAAAGGAGATAGTATGTATTTTTAAGTATATATTACTTGAAATTAAACAATTTCTACGTATTTTGAAAATTTGATATAAAATATTTGACATGACCGAAACTAACCGATGTCGGAGACAAATCAAATACAATTCACGAAAATTTCACATTGTTGACAAAAAATGTTAAGTAGGATGTTGATTTGATGTTGCTATTTTATTATTTTGTCTGTCAATCATCTCATTGTTTACATTGGAGAAACATGTTTAAATAATGTAATTAAAAGGGTATTATGAAATAAACTGTATTTACACTTACTTACATTTTAAAGGTTGGAAAATGGATATTTTGAAGGTGTTTAGAACGTTACATCCCTAAACCTTAGACAAAATATACCAAAATCTTTGTATACTTATATCTTTCAAACATATCTTTAAGAGGTTTTTAATTTTAAAACAATAGCTTATAAGAAGTTCTTAAAAAAGGTTAATTAGCTAAAAACTTAATTAATTACTGTAGTTTCTTAACCACATTCGTGATTGTTCACAAACAAAAGAGAAAAATTAGTATTATAAAAAGAGATGAACGTAAAATTGATCAGTTTCTTGCTGTGAAGGGAAATTATTGTTCTAATGTAGAGGATGGCGTAAAGATTACAATTTGTCTCTAATAGTTATTTGCATTAAGAAGAAGTAGGGGAGATTCTTCTACTGTACCGACATTTCAATATATATCCTTGAAAAATGTATAGATAACGAGTCCGAGAGATTTTCTTCAAAAATCATTTCCAAATCTGGCACTGAAAGCTTCTATTACATGATGAGATTTACAAAAAAATATAAACAATAATAAAGACAAATTTGTACACTATTAACTTGTGATGTTGTATTTTGCAGTTTATAAAAGTGTGATTGGTTCTTTTATTTCACAATTTGCCACCTGAAACATTTATGTGTCGCAGGTTCTAGAAGCCCGAGATCTCCCTGTCAAGGATGTCACTGGAAGCAGCGATCCGTATGTCAAAGTCTACCTGCTACCTGACCGCAAGAAGAAATTCCAGACCAAAGTCCACAGGAAAAACCTCAACCCGGTCTTCAATGAGACTTTTATATTTAGGTACACATTTTGGAAATCGCTTCCAAATCTGCTTTTTTCTCAGATATTAAGCTTGTTTCTATTTTAATTTAGATAGAAATTCTTGTCAACGTTTAAAAGGTTCAGGGTTGTAAGAATTCTGTAGAAAGATCATGTTTGGGTTAAAATTTAGCTTATTTGGTCCAGCGTTTTCAGCGTGGTTGGAAGACACGTGGACATACATCTCATTTTAATAAATGAATAATTTGTGCTATTTAAATAACGTATCTTTGATTTTCAACAAACAATGTTATGGTTGGAAAAACTGGTTATGTAGTCAGTGAATAGAATAATTGTTTGGGTAGCCGAGTGGTTATTGGCCGCCTTAAAATCTGAAGGTCGATGGTTCGAATCCAAGTGAGATCGTGTCCAGACCCAGATGTCATTTGTCATTGGGCTATGAATTAATGATCCTGTCTAACAAAAAGGTCGACGTTAGATAGTAACAAGACCAGGGTTTGGACCGTTCCCTTTAAAAACGACAAAAATTCCGGTAGCGAAAAAACCAAAAACAATTTAATAACCCTTAAAAGTCTAAAAATAAACAACATTTGCCAAGCTCAACTGAAAAAATACCACTTATGAATAACAAATGCTTTATGCTAATTTCACTAATCCTACATTTATACATTAATATTAAAAGTGATAAAATTTGTGCATTTCAGTGACTTAAGGTATTCACCAATCGGTCATTTCTAAAGCTCATTAAATTTTAAGCACTACGTATATTACATTTTAAACAGTTTATAAAAAATACTACACAAGTCGCAATGAAATATTAGTTTCCATTGTACAAAACACTGTAGCGGACAATATTATATTCGAAATGCTCGGTTTGGCATATGATAATACGAGTCTATTCAATTTTCGCAATATCTCCGTGACTTGAGAATATTGAATTTCATCTTCTCATTGAAGTACGTCAGACTGTAACGATATTGTAGCTGATGTTACAGTCTAATAATTCAATGCTGCTTCTCCATTGTTATAAACTACAGTTTAACTTGTACCGCAGATGTGTTCTGCAAATACAACAGCGTATTTGGTTATCATTTAATAAGTTTAGAACAATGCGTTACATTCAATGAGGTGGTATTAGATAGTTGTTCATGGAAGTTGGTAGAATACTGGGTGTTAAACAAAAACTTGAAAATTGAATATTGATATGACTATTCAAGCTAGAGAATTTTTTGTATTATAATGTTTAAAAATACTTAACTTTTACCCCCGGAACTTACTAACTAACGTAACATACTTAGTTTAACATGACACTCAGTTTAACTGATGATATAGAATTGGTCTTAAATACATTATATTACATAAGACTGGAAGAGGTAAACTCCAGCCTTGTAGATGTTTGTCCAGATGTTTGGAACTACAATGTTTATAAATAAATATAATATAAAAGCAGATGTACACTTTCACCAACTGTTTTGTAGGTTAATAATCACAACATTCTGTAAAAGTCATTATTTGAAATAGTGCCACGCTGTTTCCACAGAATGTAGAAAAGAAAGTCTAATTATATTAAGCTTCAATCGCAGCACACCTGGGAACTCAACAACGTTTAAATTCTCCACTTTTAAATATGTAAACATAAAAGGGTTGCTTACGCCTAAAAAGTTATATATTTATACACCTAATGAAAAAAAAAAAACTTTGTTTATGATCTGACAATCAGGTACAACAAATATTCTATTTCTGTTTTTGGTAGACATTTGTATTATTTATCGTACTGAAAAAATTACTATTTAAAATAATATTTGTTAAGTGCAGCAAAGCGCGACGGTAACTGCTAGTTACCGATAAAATGTTTCAATATATAGAAGTGTAATTGGAAAAGATAGAGTTGTGGGCGCGTAACGTATTTTGACCAGATTGCGTAGATGCTTAAACGCGGAACAATATGACTTATGTCTATGTCATTAGCTGTCCTCATTCTAACGAGTATCTTCTGTCCTTGTCCAGTGTCACGTACGAGGAGCTGAGGACGCGTTACCTCCAGTTCTCTGTGTACGACTTCGACCGTTTCTCCAGACACGATCTGATTGGCCAGGTGATGCTGAAAGGTCTTCTGGACAACACTGATCTCCTCCAGGAGATAGAGTACACCATGAACATACTCTGTGCTCCTCAGGTACTGCTGTCATTTGTGTTTGTAAAGTCTCTATAGTTCCCTACTTTGAACCTATTGTTTGTACTATACAGGGCGAATCTTGTAAGGTTTTCACCATTGATTTAAGACTAACTGGACTAACTCTTGGTCTTTTAATAATGAAAATATTTATCCCCCTCCAAGAATTGACGTGAAAATAGTGTGTGTTGAATACAAGATGTAACAAAGCCAGAGTTTCTTCAGTTTGATTCTCTCAATGAAAAATAAAATAAAAAAATCATATGTTCATTAAATTAAAGATTTTTCTAATAGATAATTTTGGTGCGATAACGATTTGACTACTATTAATTTGTGTCAAATTTGAATAGATATAGTCGAATTCAGATTACGCTAAAATGTTTGTTTCAAAGAGAGCTTTGAAATGTCATATGTTTAGATGCTTGTATTGGACGATGTATTTGGGATATGCTTGTAGTAGTTTCATCATTGGAACATCGATTTGTCTAAAATCAATATTAGATACCTTAGGAACTTCACCCTTAGTTGGTTTATTGTGGATTTGTTATTTTAGCTGGTGAACTTTTTAACTTCTAAGGAGAGTCAATGTGACCACGGACTTGTGATCTCAAGTCGTAAACTATAAATGAGTGCTCGCATTTCGTTGATTCGTACTATAATATTAGTACAGCCGGTTGGTGTACTCTAACAGTTCTTACATGGATTATATTGATTTGTTTCACACACAGTCCAGAGGTCTATTTAGATGGGTAAATTAATTGCTAAAGCCGATGATGTCTTAAAGAAACCTCAACCTTAATTATATAAAATGAAAATAATTTATTTGACTGTTAAACTCGATCAGGTAATAGGCTAAGACAACTGTACGAAATGATGGTTCCTTTTACAATGTTATAAAAACCTCTTCAAAGAATATCAGGGGGTTTACAACAAGCAAGACTTGATTTTCTGCTGGAAAAGATTCCGGACGTGTTTTTAGGCTCGCTGAATGACCGTTAAACCATATTTAAAAACCAATTACTTTGTAGCAGCTTATATAAATATATAGGATGGTGAGGACACAGCTAACTCACCTGATGAAAGGTTGCAGACGAGTCAAAGAACACATAAAACACATACATAATAATACTTGATATTTCGCCTCTTTCAGAGGCTTCTTCAGAAGTAGGCCTAGATGGCAGTTACAAGAACAACAGTTTGAAATAGGATGATTTGTAGCAGCTTAGAGACTTTGATAGCCTGAACTTAGGGACATGTAGATTTGAACTATTTATAGTATCATATTAAGAACCTACATGTTGGTAACCACTAATATTTGCTTTAATATTACAGAATAATTTCAGATTATAAAAATTTGTAACAGTGAGGATCTGGAATTCTTTGAAAAAGGCTCTCTTTACAGAAAGTCGATGGATGTACAGCTTATCTCATAAGCAATATGGCTATTGAAAATTGCAAAGTACACAATTAGCATACAGTATAAAGGTATCAGACATCAATTCTTCCACAAAACCAGTAAATCCTTATTATAATAGGAAGAAAAGATTGAGACAACTCTATTTCAATTATCAACTTTCGATATTGACCTAGACACTTAGTCAATTTGTACCAGTAAAAAAATCAGCCATCATTTCTCCAAATAAAATACATAGATAGATGACACTCTAATTAAGTCTATTTCTATTAAGGCTTAATTTATCATTTAAGATTGACATATCATGTCAGTTTATTAGGACAATCATGTAAAAGAATACATAAATAACAAACTCAAGAAATGGATGAACTAAATTGTTTAATGTGTTTACAGTACATATAGTCAAAAGTTTTAATCAATGATTAATTGTTGGATTAAACTACAATTTATAGAAACTAGTTGTGTGATGACTCCAACAGCCTCCTAATAAATAATAAATTTTTTTGTACTCTGTCCTGAATGATTGTTGCATGTTAGTTTATATATTTTGGACAGTTTTTTTTGTTTTAGCGTATGTTTAGCTGAGGAATAGTCTAATTATATATAAAGTACTAAAATTATTGGTTTGTACGTTTCTTCAGTTTATAGTGTTTCGTTGATGACTTTTTAAAACCCCCTACTGCCGAGGAGTTCCTTCTTCTCGCTCAGTTAGCTGCCAAATATATAAAAAAAATGTTTTGCCTTATCTTTTCCTTTAGATCCAAAGAATAAATTTTACTAACTGCTTTCTACTCGATATTAAACACATCGTACATATTTGAGTCTATTTAAATTATTTTGAATTATAATATGTATATTTTTGCACTTCCATCTGTGAATGCAAACATTATGCAACTATTAGGAGACCGACACTCTGTAAAGTTAAAAAGTAAAATGTACATTCTTATATTTTCCTTTTTAATTTTTTTTTTTTTTACTTTTATTGTTTTAATGTTGAATGACTAATGGTTTATTACGTACACAAATTGAAATAGAAGCTTTTTACGTTTGAATCGTTAAATCTTTTACATTTAACAAATGTTGCCTGTAAAGGCGGATTCATCAATATTATTTTCATATTTTAGTTTCTTAGGTGTCTCCATAATACCACATGGTAGTGGTTTATTTCAAGTAGTTGACTATAAAAGACAGGGAAGTTCATTAACCCCACTCAATGACATATATTTCGAGAGCGGTCATGACTGATTGTGCTCGTAATACACACAATATTTTTCCTACAATCATAATTAGTTATAATGACACACAGATAATATTTTTTGATGTGTATAACATCTCGTTTAGGATATGTTTGCTTTTTTTAAAGGTCATGTTTTTTTTTACCGGTAGTTTGGAAGTTCGTAAAAGTGGATGGAACTTGATAACGTAATAGGAGAAAGCAAATAAAGTAACGGTTCTAACACAACTTTAAACGTTAAAATGATAAATATTTTTAAAATTACGTTGTTCATGTATTAATAAACTACAACTATCAAATTTAGTACAAACAAATCACAAAATCTACAAAATTAGACATAACCGCTTAGGGGAACACAAACAAAAACGTACTATCCACAAGAGAGCTGAAAAATTATCAGCTCTCTAAATTATCAGGGATTTCAAAAACTGACGGATACTTTATTTATGTGCCTCATGGGTCTAATTGCTCTCTAAATCTCACAAAAAATAAAACAGGCGTTCATGCACGAGTAAATCGGTGATTTAGAGATGGGCAATCAGTGATTGAGAAGCCTTGCACTGTTTCATACATGAAGTATCGGCCAACTGCTACTCGTTTATCACATGTTGTGATTTACAATCTGTCAAACGTGTTATATAGATTAGATTTAGAGATATACTATCGGTGATTTTCGTGTTTGAGAAGCTTTGTTGCACACTTGATGTATCTACCAACTCATAATTAAACATTTGAATAGGGAAAGAGAGTTCGAGGGAGCGGGTTAGTCTAGTGGTTAGAGCGCAGGACTTCTGTTCCTGAGGCTTCGGGTTCAAATCCCGCCAAATCGATGGATTTTATTTAAGTGATAATGCCGCAACCCTTAGGTCTAGCCTGAAGTAATGTGAAAAAATATCCCGGGCTCGTGCCTAGCGTCCTAGGACAAACAAATTGGGAAAGAGTTATTATTCCTAGTCAGCAAATACTATTTACTTGTCAACTGAGATGTTAACGATAACGTTTCGTTGAGCTGTTTTACTTTTGTATTTCCTTTAAGTTGGTCACGTTCGTAAAACTTCTATGATTTCAACAAAATTTGGATCGATAATGTAAAGTTACTTCTAATAGAATTAACTCCTTGACCAGTTTAAACAAGCCATGTTGGGGACCTTCACAAAAAATCTGATTATGTAATTTGTTATCAAACTTCAATGGAATTAAAACATTACGATATAAATCTGTGTTAAATACTTACATTTCCTGTTTACCCATATACTACATTACTGAAATTAAAGCTGACTTTTGTTAACGAAATTAAAAGTCTTAAGCGCAGCATTTACTCATGTTTACTCCTCAATTATGGTAGACTACAATTTTGCTGTAATATATTGTTAAATATACTTTTGTTAATTGGTCATTCACTTAATATCATAGTAAACTTTATGAATTAAACAAACACACAATCTTTGTTTCTCTTGCAGCAGTAACCCAAACTTATGATTGTGCTTAAAAGTATTAAAGTAGGGACGAGTTAGTTTGGTAGTCAAGTGCTAGGACCCTAAGGTTCCTAGCTCAAATCCTGCTATTCACCAATTTTTGCTTTTACTTCACAACTCTTTCATAACCCCAAATAACATTTAAAACCGTTACGCTAATTATCTTGGCAGTGATGTTGTAAAGAATAAAAATTCAATCTATTAAATTACCTCCCATTTTGTATCTGTATTAACAAATATACAATAGATGAACGCAGATTTTGAGGTTAATTTCCTTCATTTATGGTTGGCGAGTTACAATCTGCGAAAATAAACCAGATTAACGGAACGTTAAACGCGATATTGTGTCTATAAATTACTAGATAACAATTAGCTCTAAATTGCAATATAATATTTTCCACCACAGTCTTTTATTACACTGTAACATTAAAAATTGTTGGCAAATTGAACTATAAAATTTTATGTAATCGCTTCTGAAATACAGTGTTGTTTGACCGAAAATGGTGTCGCTTTGTATACGAAAATTGTATTACAATCCTCAGCCAATTATAGAAAGTTCTAGACTGTTCAAACTACAAGTGATTCAAATTGAGCTTTCAATTGTTGATCGGTACTGGATAAAGCTGATTGGAAAAATGTGTTAATAATTTATCTTACTCTAGAAATTAATAACGTAACTAGGCTATTAGTGTTTTAGTATGACGTTCAACTTTTTATCTGATTCTAAAGATTTACCAACACTCATGCTGCAATGACATAAGAAGAAGTCAATCCAACAATTCTACGCCAGAAAAATAGTATATTTCGTACCTAGGGCCGAAAATAAGGTTTTGCAGCTCTCGAGATAGTTTTTAAGTTCGAGACGAAGTCGAGAGAGCTGCAAAACCATTTCGGTCCGTGGTACGAACGCTATTTTTCACCACACTATACCCTATTACCACTATTCGCCACTATAATAATGCACACTGATAGTCAACACAATACAACTTAAGGTTATGTGAAGAAATCATTTGAGGAATCAGTAAAAATAAAAATAAATATTTGGTAGGCAACTGTGACAAAAACACAATTCTATTGCAATTCTATGGATTTTGATTGTGTATTTAAAATGCATGTTTTAAGTAAGTAAGCGGACAGCTGATTTTGCGGCCCCGGCCTGTAAAAACCTGCTCGGTCCCCAAATTGGTGACAGCTGGCATGGCCAGCAAAACGTAACTTTCAACCACCAATTAACGTATGTAATACAGCCAAAAACATCATAGTGTGGTGAAAACACCGTTTTTAATGCACAACTCAACAATTAAACTAAGTTGCAAAATACACATGATTACTATACAGTTAGTTTGCTTTTCATCCAAGCATGAATAAATTAAATATGGTTAAATGTGCAAAGGCAAGTGGCTTATAACATGTTGTTTAGCCTAGTTTCTAACTTTGATAGATTTATAATGAAAATCATTAACTATGAGGTAATTCAACTTACTTAAACAAATTTAACAAATTCATATAACTTATGTCGGATTTCTGAGCCTAGATACAAACTTAGATTGATTTCTAGGCAATATTATATACAAAGTCATTATCTAATATCAAAACACGGAACCAACTGTTGGTTAACCACCATGCAATAACCAATACTCGAGAGTTAGTTGGAATAGTTAAGGTTTCTAAGTTGGTATTGCCTGCCTTGTACATTCGCGATGTATACATTATGTGTAATCAACCAGACCCCATTCAATATTATATTAGATATGTGACAAACCAAACTATACTAAACTCCCCTTGGTCTTATCTGATTTATTAATACTTATTCTTTATATGGTACAATTAGTTTTGAGGGCAATTTGTTTATTAAACGGGGTTGCACTGTTGTTTTATCGTAAACTATTTAAAGACAATTGTGAACTAAAATAACCTTTGAGTCAAATCCAATCAAAAATATTATGCAACTTAACTAACTTCTTGATTATTATCGTTTGTATTATTAAATTACCTGTAAGTACTAAATATACGTCAAATAACAATTATTGTAATTATGTATTTTCACTTATACTGTTGACTCACAAGACGGTAAATACAATAAATATTTTGTTAGTGGTGATCGATTTTGATTAGACACTCCAATCATCATCAGACCCAATGACCGTCTTGTGAGCAAACAGTATAAGTGTAAATATATTATTCAAAGTGTTATTTGACTATTATTTGTACTTTCAGGCAACTCATTTGTCCAAAATCGTATACATTAAGCTCAGCTTACCTTTTAAAGTTAGGTTATAATATCAACGTAACCTAAAAGTGCGTTTGAAGTGAGTTTTCTGCTCACTAATCTGTATTAACCTTTAACATTACAATGAGAAATTACTTTTCAACAATGTAAAGTGGGGAAATTGCCCAAGACAAATTTATTCACCACATTACATTTCTTATATTCGTAGTTATAGTATTCCGCGTTTGACTTGCTGTCTGTTGGTAGGTAGCCGGTGTACGAAGATTATCAAGCGAACCTACCTACGCTGGGCAGGCTGAGTGTACAGTAAGGTTCCATTTTATAATAGCGCTCTAGAACTATGGACTGTATGATGGAACCTGTCTCCTTACCATCCGTATACCCAGGACTGGCCAATGTGTTAAGGCCGGGGTAGACGGAGGGCCAGGAATCAGGTTCCATCATACAGGCTATAGCGTAGCCTAGCCTTGCATCTTACGTAGTTGCTAAAGTCCCTTAGATCCTGTAGTGCATAGAAGTAGTTTAATGCACTTAGGTTTGACTTTACGCTTTCTAGCACAACATATTTTATTCTTAAATATTTCTTGAAGAATTGTCTGTAGGAAATGTGTAAAGTAGTTTCCATAATTGTGAATGGGGTTAGGTTGCATATGAGGGAAATGTCTTTAAATTTAGCTTTGCAAACCGTAAATAATTCTTCATCGAGTGTTCAAATGATGAAGATGAACATGAAGTCCGTTGGAAGATTTAAGTTAGTACTCAGGCTTAAACCTTATAAAATCTAAACAAAATTATATAACCTTGTTGATATATTCTAAGATTAACTAATATGACCACTCTACCTCTACAGTTGGAAAGCTTAGCCCAAGGGGATTAGGCGATTAGGTTTATCCTGATAATTAGGTTTGTCCTGTTAGTATAGACCATGATTAATCCTTGAGTAATATTCCAGCCTAGTTTGTTAGGCATTTTTTCAAGATATGACTAGATACAAATTGCCAACTTTTATTCAGGTTGTTTGTTTTTTCCATGCAACCCAAATTATGAATAAATGAAAATACTTTCAGGTATACCGGTATAGTGTCCCTGTTTAAGGACGAAAAAGCCTGATAAGTTGATTGCCTTGCTTCCATATCATTACCTCATCAGTCATTACTTATATTCAATGTTGTCTGCAAAGACTATAAAACTCAACATTGTGTCTTGCAATATCAAAGATGAGATTATGCATTGCAGAAGGGTTTGTTAAAAGAAAAACATTAAAAAATAATACCAATCAAGTTTAAATAAAGTTCATCGTCAATGTTTGAGTTTAAAATAAATGCTATCAGTTTTGTACAAGACGTATATAACGGTTACAACTGGGTAAAACAGTGCGTACCGGTCTTATTGAGTCGTAGTAATTAATTTAAAATTCTAGAAAATAGTTTAAATGAAGGTACTTAAGTTTGTACAGTGAATAATCTGCAGTGTATCTCGACCACACTTAACATGTTCATAATGAACAAAAAATCTCCCTTCGATTTCTGTTAAATGCTTGCGTGAACCGAGTCACACTCCATTTCAGTGTGACCCTTATTAAGTATTTTTTCCTTGAGGAAAAGATAAAGTTTGACATAAATCAAGAAAATGCTGTTTCTACTGTCATGGTGTACCAAGAAACATTTCACCATGAAATATCCACGTTTTATGGAACAATTCCGTATTATACTATTTTAACTCACATACAACACTCTCTGGTATAACGTAAAAGCTATGTTATTTGAATTGGCATTTGTGGTTAGGAATCAATATGATACACATTTTAAACTTATTTTGAAATATTTTCTTGTTTCTAGGCTTAAAACTTATAACATCAGTGTCTTTTAACACTACTACACAGATTTAATATATCCAAATACTTAAAAATATGCTTTCGGAAGTAGTGTGCTTTCTTAACCACATGTATTGTATTGTTATTAATTAATCAATTCATATTTTACATAAATATTACTGAATATTAGCATCTCGATAGCTTTTAATATCGCATTTTGAGTTACATTTGACGTTTTAACCTCTTGAGTTAACTTTTCAAAATCCACTCAACACTAAAAGGCGAAGAAATGACGGTAGTTTATCTTCAAAGACAAAATGAGCTGCCAAACATTTGTTGAGTCCGCGGTGTTGTACATAAATATTTCTGGATTAAATTTGGACCCGTTTGGATATGTGAATGGAACCCTTACATAAATGTACTATTGACAATTTTTTATACAGAGAAGCAATTGTAGGATATTTGCCGTAAGTGGTACTAATATTCCACTATCTGTATTTAAATTAATAAATTATGACTTTTATTGTTTTAATAGTTAGATCTAATTCCAAAATCTACATACCTTCTGTGGGGTTCAATTTAGAAATGTTATTGGGACTGTGTTTCATGGTTATTAATTTGTTGGTACTTTCGCTCTGACTCTTTATTACGATGTTAATTTTAAATGATGGAACCTCTATACAGGCTTTCCTTCAGAGGTCCTATATTTCCAGGATGCTAGTATTATAATATAATGTTAATTATACTCTTTGTATTAGTTATACATTTTTGTTGTAAATCAAAACTGTAATTACCTGTAGCATTTTTGGAAATAAATTATATTCTAATCGTGCAGTAAATTTTAATATTGACAGATATACATAACGTATTAGTTAAGTACCGTAGTCATTGAATTATCACCATCCAAATCTAAATATATTAAATTACCTTTTGGCTTAAATACATTTGTACTATATAATTAAATAAGTTATCAAACAAACTGTTACCTGTTCAATATCCTTTGGTATTGTGGGATGACGACCGGTTTTGTGACGACGGTCACATCAACTGGTCAGTCCTCGTAGAATGATTATTTATACATACATAAAGTGTATACTGAACACAGAATCTTATTTACATTTATTTTCCCAAACTGAGACAGAAACTATCGCGACGCGTGCTTACGTCGAGCCGGCCGCGACTCAGTTTGGGAAAATAACTGTAAATATTTTGTGAATAAGGTGTTCTGTGTTCGGTAAAAACTTTTAAGTGTACTTAACGAATCGTTCTACGAGGATTGACCGGATGATGTGACTGTCGTCACGAAATCTGTCGTCATCCAACAAAACCACAGGACATTGAACAGCAAACTTATGCAAATAATGGCTGTCTCTTAGATAAGTACTCGTATATATGTATGTTACTGGACTTAACTTGTATGCAATAAAACTCTTGAGACTTTTATGTTTTCGTTTGTTCTAAATAAATGTACTGGACTGAATAAGACAATTGATTCTTCCATCGAAGATATTTCCAATGTTTTACAAACTCTGCGTTAATATTGTTTTTTTTTTTTTTTCAACATATGTCTTCGATTCTGTTTTAATTAAATCCATGAAGTATGAAGGAGAATACTATGTTTCTTTTTGGTTTACATCATTAAATTTCATATGTGTTTTAGGAAAACTTTTTAGACGATTATTTTAACACTTCTTGGAATTTCTTTTTACCATTACCGCTGAATTTGCTGGAATGATATCCATTTTAATAACGTAGATTTCTAGCTTATTTAGATTTACATTTGTATGCAAACCTTTACCCATTTTGCTTTATTTTATTCAATTTTACCTAATTTAAATCTGAAACTGGAACGAAATCAGGGAAGTATAAGTTTTTTTACTATGATGCTAAATGATCATGTATATATATTGTATCTATATTTTATAAGATTATTATTTGTAATTATTTTTATTGAGATCTTATGTTCAAGGGGGAAGTCAACGCACAATATAAAGTTTATGACGGCTTAATCAAATTATCCAGAGGATTTTTATTTATTTTGATACTCGCTCCCAAAAATGCATCAAGGTTAGCATATAATGTTACTCGTTTCTCACATTGGCAATATGTAAGTAATTTGTCCCATGGTTCTACATATTACTGATATCAGTTATTTTGTACGATTCCATATTTATTTGAGATAATTCTTAATAATTCTTAATACAATTTTATTTATCCATTATTTTTTATCCATGAAGTATGAAGGAGAATACTATGTTTCTTTTTGGTTTACATCATTAAATTTCACATGTGTTTTAGGAAAACTTTTTAGACGATTATTTTAACACTTCTTGGAATTTCTTTTTACCATTACCGCTGAATTTGCTGGAATGATATCCATTTTTAATAACGTAGATTTCTAGCTTATTTAGATTTACATTTGTATGCAAACCTTTACCCATTTCGCTTTATTTTATTCAATTTTACCTAATTTAAATCTGAAACTGGAACGAAATCAGGGAAGTATAAGTTTTTTTACTATGATGCTAAATGATCATGTATATATATTGTATCTATATTTTATAAGATTATTATTTGTAATTATTTTTATTGAGATCTTATGTTCAAGGGGGAAGTCAACGCACAATATAAAGTTTATGACGGCTTAATCAAATTATCCAGAGGATTTTTATTTATTTTGATACTCGCTCCCAAAAATGCATCAAGGTTAGCATATAATGTTACTCGTTTCTCACATTGGCAATATGTAAGTAATTTTTTCCATGGTTCTACATATTACTGATATCAGTTATTTTGTACGATTCTATATTTATTTGAGATAATTCTTAATAATTCTTAATACAATTTTATTTATCCATTATTTTTTATCCATGAAGTATGAAGGAGAATACTATGTTTCTTTTTGGTTTACATCATTAAATTTCATATGTGTTTTAGGAAAACTTTTTAGACGATTATTTTAACACTTCTTGGAATTTCTTTTTACCATTACCGCTGAATTTGCTGGAATGATATCCATTTTAATAACGTAGATTTCTAGCTTATTTAGATTTACATTTGTATGCAAACCTTTACCCATTTCGCTTTATTTTATTCAATTTTACCTAATTTAAATCTGAAACTGGAACGAAATCAGGGAAGTATAAGTTTTTTTACTATGATGCTAAATGATCATGTATATATATTGTATCTATATTTTATAAGATTATTATTTGTAATTATTTTTATTGAGATCTTATGTTCAAGGGGGAAGTCAACGCACAATATAAAGTTTATGACGGCTTAATCAAATTATCCAGAGGATTTTTATTTATTTTGATACTCGCTCCCAAAAATGCATCAAGGTTAGCATATAATGTTACTCGTTTCTCACATTGGCAATATGTAAGTAATTTGTCCCATGGTTCTACATATTACTGATATCAGTTATTTTGTACGATTCCATATTTATTTGAGATAATTCTTAATAATTCTTAATACAATTTTATTTATCCATTATTTTTTATCCATGAAGTATGAAGGAGAATACTATGTTTCTTTTTGGTTTACATCATTAAATTTCACATGTGTTTTAGGAAAACTTTTTAGACGATTATTTTAACACTTCTTGGAATTTCTTTTTACCATTACCGCTGAATTTGCTGGAATGATATCCATTTTTAATAACGTAGATTTCTAGCTTATTTAGATTTACATTTGTATGCAAACCTTTACCCATTTCGCTTTATTTTATTCAATTTTACCTAATTTAAATCTGAAACTGGAACGAAATCAGGGAAGTATAAGTTTTTTTACTATGATGCTAAATGATCATGTATATATATTGTATCTATATTTTATAAGATTATTATTTGTAATTATTTTTATTGAGATCTTATGTTCAAGGGGGAAGTCAACGCACAATATAAAGTTTATGACGGCTTAATCAAATTATCCAGAGGATTTTTATTTATTTTGATACTCGCTCCCAAAAATGCATCAAGGTTAGCATATAATGTTACTCGTTTCTCACATTGGCAATATGTAAGTAATTTTTTCCATGGTTCTACATATTACTGATATCAGTTATTTTGTACGATTCTATATTTATTTGAGATAATTCTTAATAATTCTTAATACAATTTTATTTATCCATTATTTTTTATCCATGAAGTATGAAGGAGAATACTATGTTTCTTTTTGGTTTACATCATTAAATTTCATATGTGTTTTAGGAAAACTTTTTAGACGATTATTTTAACACTTCTTGGAATTTCTTTTTACCATTACCGCTGAATTTGCTGGAATGATATCCATTTTAATAACGTAGATTTCTAGCTTATTTAGATTTACATTTGTATGCAAACCTTTACCCATTTCGCTTTATTTTATTCAATTTTACCTAATTTAAATCTGAAACTGGAACGAAATCAGGGAAGTATAAGTTTTTTTACTATGATGCTAAATGATCATGTATATATATTGTATCTATATTTTATAAGATTATTATTTGTAATTATTTTTATTGAGATCTTATGTTCAAGGGGGAAGTCAACGCACAATATAAAGTTTATGACGGCTTAATCAAATTATCCAGAGGATTTTTATTTATTTTGATACTCGCTCCCAAAAATGCATCAAGGTTAGCATATAATGTTACTCGTTTCTCACATTGGCAATATGTAAGTAATTTGTCCCATGGTTCTACATATTACTGATATCAGTTATTTTGTACGATTCTATATTTATTTGAGATAATTCTTAATAATTCTTAATACAATTTTATTTTAAAGGGCCAACGCGGATGTTGAGTTTACACGACGGTATTTATCAAATCCAGATTATTTTTATTTAGTTTGATAGACCTACTCGCTCCTAAAAGTACATAAGGGTTTATGTATTGTTACTCGTCTTACAATGCCAATTTAAATTTAACTGCCAATGGTTCTACATATTTTTTACTTTCATTTGTTTACACTTCCCGTTTTGTCTATGTTTGATAGTGGTTACCTAGTTTACCCAAGAACCACATTGTCAATTTTTGGAGGAAAGATGAGAACGGACCGTTAACATTTCAGTATAGAAAGGTAGCCCCCTCCAAATTCTCCTTAAAGAGGTAGTTTTCTTTTAAGAGCTCAGTGATGATGTTTAAACATTTATTGCTATTTAACCTTTTAACTAACTCAACTAAAATTCTGTTCGTTTATGCATAAATTATACTGTGACCAAACAAAATAATTGACCTGCATCAAAAACTCTGTATTTATACATAGTTATACGTTAAACGAGTTATACGTATTTATAATTGTCATAACATAAATAGGCTTATGATCATTCCAATTCTTAAGAAAGTTATTATAAATAAGTCTGTTATGTAGGTAGCATCATGAGAATGTAAAGGGTATTCGAGACACCCATCCGCACGAAGTTAACATAGAATACTTAATAGAGGAGGTATTTTAACTAAAAGTAGCACTACGGCCATTTAATAACATATACTATTTAATAACATATCCACCGGAGAATAGTACATCAGTTTGGGTGGTGTATCGCGACTCACACCACTTTTATTGTTTGGGAACAGTCAGGGTCCGAATCCTACCAAGTTATTACCTTGGTTGTACATGCAGTTAACGGGTAGCTATACTCCTACCCTTGAGTGGTACTAAATACTCTTACTTATTTAAATGAAAATTTTCTCAAAAGAAGGTTTTAGGTTCATCTTGGAAAAACTAAAACTTGGGTTGGTTAAAGCTCTATAAATCCCCTCAAACTCTTTAGATTTGAGCGTCACAAACTTATTCTGTGCGGCCAAATTTTCTATATGGCCCTTGAGTAAAACAGGTTGGAGACACCTGCTTCACATTATTTATTCAAACTAATTTTGCCTGTAAAGACGGATTCATCAATATTATTTTCATATTTTAGTTTCTTATGTGTCTCCATGATACCACATGGTAATGGTTTATGCCAAGTAGTTGACCATAAACCCCCCCCCCTCTCAATGACATATATTTCGACAGCGGCCATGACTGTACTCGTAATACACACAATATTTTTCCTACAATCAATAATGACACAGATTAACTTTTTGGATGTGCATAAAATGTCATTTGGGTAATGTTATGTCTTACCGGTTGTAAACTATCATCACCGGATCATCTGCTATGGTTTGTCTATAAGTTAAACAACGATAACTAGGAAATCAACTGATTATCGAGCGGGAATGATCCATTCCCGCTCTAGAGCGGAAATAAGCTTATTTCCGTACTGTTTACAGGTAAGACAATGTGATTATTTACATGCAGTAGTAGAAAAAATAATAACCTTACAAATACAGACTTAAATAAACATTATTGTTAAAAATTTGTTCCAGGAAAAGAAGGAACTTGGAGAATTGCTACTAACTTTGTGCTACCTACCTAAGGCTGGCAGACTGACTGTTACCATTGTCAAAGCTCAGAATTTGAAAGCGATGGACATTACAGGCGCTTCAGGTGCTTATCATTGTTAATACATGAAATTCATACTTAAAGTCTTCTTCTTCATCTCAACCAATGCAATTCTTTAATAAAGCTGAATGAGGCCTAAACACAACATATAAATGGTAGTCAATACCTCTTTTTTGTAAGAGAGACAGTGTTTTATACATTTTAAACTGGATTTACCATTGTAGAGATTGATTCGGAAGTACCATAATAAATTATTAGTTGTGTGAATGATGCATAAATAGGTAATTACTATTCTGCATTGAAAAATCGTGTACATTGGCAGATTATTCATTTTGACTTGTTTCACAGATCCATACGTCAAAGTGTACCTGGTCTGCAACGGCAAGAGGATACGCAAGAAGAGGACCAGTGTGAAGCGGTCGACGTTAAGTCCTGTTTACAACGAAGCTCTCACCTTTGACGTACCAGCTTCGAACGTGGATAACGTCAGTCTTGTAATCAAGGTCATCGATTATGACAGGTGCGAGCTGAAACTTTGTTTATTCCATAAGTTAGCTAATAATACATACGAAATTTGGCTAGACGAAATAGTACTCGAGTTCATTCCTGGTGGTCTCAACCTCAGGGTGTTTCTGGAGTTGCTCAATCTCTGGTTGTTCCTGGAATTGCTCAATCTACTTATCTTCCTCAGCTTTCTCGTTACCTTCTTTTTCCGGGCCTTCCTCAATCCCTTGTGCTGGAGATTTCTCCATTCCTTCTTGTTCCTGGCCTTTCTCAAACCCTTGTTGTTCCGGAACTTTCTCAATCACTTGTTCTGGAGATTTCTCCATTACTTCTTGTTCCGGAACTTTCTCAACCACTTCCTGTTCCGGGATTTCCTCAATCCCTTGTTGTTCCGGGACTTTCTCAATCCCTTGTTTTTTGGAGATTTCTCCACCACTTTTTCATTATCTGCTTTTTCAATCACTTCCTGTTCCGGGACTTCCTCAATCCCTTGTTGTTCCGGGACTTTCTCAATCCCTTGTTCTGGAGATTTCACCACCACTTTTTCATTATCTGCTTTTTCAATCACTTCTTTTTCCTGGACTTTCTCAATCCCTTGTTGTTTCGGGACTTTCTCAGTCACTTCTTGTTTCGGGACATTCTCAATCCCTTGTTGTTCCTGGACTTTCTCAATCCCTTGTTGTTCTGGGACTTCCTCCATCACTTGTTCATTCTTTGCTTCCCAATCCCTTGTTTTTCCTGGATTCTCTCAAATATGTGGTTGTTTCTGAATTTGTTAAATATTTGGTTGTTCCTGGATTTGCTCAATCTCTGGTTGTTCCTTGTGATGCTCAACGTCTTATCTGTTCCTGGCCTTCATAAAGTTCCCGGTCTGCAGTAATTTCAGGTTCTTTGAACTCCAGTTGAACCGTAGCTGTCCTGAAGATAGATTGTTGAAAAACGAGACAACAAAGATCGAATTGAAAAACAAATACATCTTACTTCAATCATCAAAAGTAATACATCCTAATTCAATTGTCAAAACTAACATACTCATTTCACACTTATTCTGAAGATTATTTCAATTTCAAACATTCCATAAAAAATGCGTCCACCTTTAAATCCGATGGAATATGGTGAAGTATTTTGAAGAACTATTAATATGGTGGTACTTGTCTAATATTAAGTTGTAATCTTTAAGTTAGGATAGCTCAGTTACCTTGATAAATTGAAAAAAAATAATTTGGATCAATACTACACAGATTTTATGCAGAAAGTGAGTTTTGTTTCTTCTATCTTTCAGCAAACATGTCAACTTATTACTGAAACAATCAGAGAAAATCGTTAAATCGTATTCAAGGAAGGTGGATCGTATTCTATGCCTTGAATAACGTGTAAGCCAAAATGGTATGTTTTGCAGGATTGGGTCAACTTATTACTGAAACAATCAGAGAAAATCGTTAAATCGTATTCAAGGACAATTCTATGCCTTGAACAACGTGTAAGCCAAAATGGTATGTTTTACAGGATTGGATCAACTTATTACTGAAACAATCAGAGAAAATCGTTAAATCGTATTCAATGACAATCTATGCCTTGAACAATGTGTAAGCCAAAATGGTATATTTTGCAGGATTGGATCAGACGAGCTGATGGGTTGTGTTGCCATCGGATCCAGTTTCATCGGTGTCGGTCGCGACCATTGGCTCAAGATGTTGGAATCCCCTCGAGAGAACGTGGCTCAGTGGTATCCCCTGCTGGAGTCTATCCCAGGAGCCATTGAGACAACATCCTCTCCTTTGCGGCCCGTTAGTCTCAGTTGTCTGAACGGCAGGTAAGTTACCGGGTTGTCTTATGTCGTGTCTCTGGGTTTTATAAACTATATTCATAACCACCATAGGTTTTGCCACCTCTTTGTTGCAAATTTACCCCAAAGGTGAGCTAAATTACCCTAAATGTTTATATTTGAATGCTATATAACATCGGTAAAATAAGAAAAAAGATTTTATTCAGCTCTATGGAAATATAAAAAAAATATCAACCAAGAATTATTGTATTTTTGTTTATTTTATTGACCCATTACTAATTTTGTTTGACAATCATCACTTCTCTTTAATATATACATGCAGTGATTCTTGACACAATCGGTATTTTAATCCTAGTGTAGGATTACAGCTCACATTTTCAGACTTCATTTTGACAAAATTCAGTATTTACCTGCGCGAGAAGCGCATACGCTTCCGAGCATGAGGGGTACTTTGATATGTATCGTTTTAACTTCACTATAATTTTGACGATGCCGGATGAGTCATTGTCCAAGGATGATCTACGAAACTGAGCGTCGTAGCCCTCAATCATCCCTAGTGAAAAGTCAGGGTCCAGACACACTTTTTGTAGTCTGATACGCTTTCCTTCACATGGTTTGTGAGCAGATTTACCTGAAATTGTACATAGAATTTCTTACTCTTTGGGATTACATCCGAAATACAGTGGGGAATGTGTTGTACCTCGGGACAGTTTGTGAACAAATATTTTTAGTTTTTTTTAAAGGTTTATGTTAGTTTTTTACATACTACATCAAAGCCCAGCTTTTAGACTACACATTAACATTGAATTATAAAACATAAATTCTCTAATAAGGGGTGAAAAAAATATTTTGTAAACCTCGGCACTGTATCCCAAGGTACAACACCGGGTTGTACTTTGGGATGCAGAATGGTTGTACCTTGGGACAGAGTGAAATAGTGAATAAAAATTCCAGTCAGCAAATAAACCTTATATTTATTTCACACAAAATTTATAAAAGTCACAACAAAAATATGAAATAATTAACACAAAATTATAGGGCCTAAAACTTGGAACAACAATGTAAAAACAGATGTTTTTTAGGCCTACTACAAGTTTAATCATTGGAATATGCACTGAAATCAACAGGAATCCTCATTAAGCGCTAAAATATATTAATTAATTAATCATAATAACAAAGTAAAAGAATACTTCTTTACTAGGCCTACAAATTTAGTTCATAGGCATGTAATATGCACTAAAATCAACAGGGAAGTTGACTACTCGCTTTAGGCGCTCAGAGGTTCCTGGAGTAAAGGTGAAGGTAGTTTACATACTATATCTCCCTCATCTATTGAGTGATAAACAACAAAATGTACCAGTTTTTTAACAATATAATTTCCTAAAAGCTCGCTATTGCTAATGTAAAATAACAGAACTTGTAGTCAAACAAATGAATACTTTACTACAGTAAAACTTCGTGGAACACCATATATTTTGTGAAAAATCCTACATTGTCTCTTTCTTCCACGTTGGTGTCTAAAATGACTACTTTAACGACTTCGGGATTTTCGCTCAACTGAAAACAACATACAGTTGACCATGCGTGAAAACTGGTGATGGTAAATAAATCCCAATTTTTCAAACGTTTGCCCCTGGTCCTTATAAATTGTCAGAGCAAATGCAACTAATTGGAAATTGCATCCTTGCGGCACGGTATAAAATTAACGTGTTACTTTCAACAGCCGTGTTTGGTGTTGCAGATGAAGGAAGCGGCGCTGGAAGCTGTTCCACTGCTAATCTAGGAACGTCTGACGATGCTCAACACTCTTTGGTCCCACGAGGAGTCCTGCATGAGGAGCGTGGTTCTGAACCAAGGAGATCCATGTACAGTCCTTTAGTTTGTTTCTCGATGTTGATCGTGAGGTTTTCTTCCTATTAACAAATGTAGACGGCTGGCCTAAACGGTATTGTATAAAGGATTAGCTTAGGTAACTAATAGAGTAAGACCAATGATTACTTTGTATTTTCCAAAGCTCAATACTGAGAAGTGTAAATTGTAGTATAAACGTGTATACTATTTGTACCTTATTTAGTCACTAGCTGTATTGAGATGATATTTTGTATTGCGGTTAAGTTTGTTGTGTAGTGATAAGAGTTTCATGTTGACTTATTTTGTTTTAAGTTTGAAGTTTATGATGAAATAGAATTTATTAACTGTATAGAATGTTGAATGATTAAAGATTATTTAATTCGAGAGAAATGTTTGACAAAATCGTAACTTACTTAACCTTTGCATGATTAGGAAATTAAAGATGATTAGGAAATTAAAGACAAAGAAAAATGAATTATTTTTATACTTGTGTAAATATTTCACATCGTAAAAAAATGACTTGATAAGGCACTACTTGTCAGGCTTGCTTCTATAATTTGCAGCCTAGGTTGAAATATTTTAATGACAACTATTACTACAGTCTTGCTCTTACTCATGTCTGTCAGTTGTAATCAGTAGATGTGTGTTAATCATAATGCAGAGACATTTATGTTCGTGTAAAATTCCATTGAATGTGTTAAGCAAAATCTCTTGTCAAATTTCAGGGCGCACTGATGATATGGATTTTTTTTTCATGCTGCAGCAAAACAGTCATTTTAATGCATGCGTTGCAGGTCTAGTAGAATTTTTACTCTCTGGGGAGTAAAAAGCGTTTTTGGCCCCTAGGGAGTAAAAATCAGCTGTTGTCAACTCAGTTGTTAATTTCGATTGGAAAAAAAAATCGCGTGTATCATAAGTTCTTTATTCCCACGTAATCAACAAGAACTCATAACTTATAAATAATGTTGCAATATGACGCAAAATTTACTTTATCACACGGGCAAAAAGTGTCTTTTCAACATTTACTCATTTTCCTACCTGGGCTTCACCTCGAGCGTTAAACTTGAGCTCGGGTCGAAAAGAGTCACTTTACGCCCTAGTGATGAAATATACTTTGAAGTTCTCTCTAATACGAACAAGGAAATCAAATTAAGTTTTATTTTTTGTTCCTAGAAACCAAGTCAATTTTGTAAAATATTAGACGATTTTCTTAAGAGTCTTCCTTAGTGGAAGCCATGTTGGATTTCTTCCCCATAAGAACAATGTTAACTTTGGGTCCAAATATCTCAACAGCAAATTGTCATATAATTATGGATAAGGAGTTAAATTTAAGGAATTGCGGTCCTCTAGAGATTGACGTTTTTTATTTCACAATTTTTAATTTTTATAATGAATAATTGATTATTAATTAGCTTAAAATTAAGCTAATTATTGAAAGGAAATGAAAATGGATTTTCGAAATTCAAAAACCTCAGTCACGAGTCTATTATGTTAAAAATACAAATTATAAATTTCAAAGCTATATCTTAACAAATAACGCCGTTACGTGTCCACGAATGATGTAATGTTTAACATTGTTCTTATGGGGAAGAAATCCAACATGGCTACCACTAAGGAAGACTCTTAAGATCAACATTATATTAAAAGCATATTTATTTCAATACAGTGTGATTAAGCCCTCCAGGATTTCACCTACCTTTTACTTACATTTTATCTTTTAATTTAAACTGTAAAAAAAATATGTTTCAGCTCATAAGGTAAAAGTGTTTATCTTGGAAACGTAGAGAAAAAAATCTTTAGTTATTACTATAATTTAAAACCGTTTTTGCCAGAGTCGTAACTTTTAGTCCTGAACTCAATTATGCAATCACGGAAGCGACCCATTTAATCTGTAATAGCGTGCAGGCGTAACATTTATTCAGCACATGAATAGTTCAGTTAATAAACCACGCCCCTAGTGATAAACCATACGTTTCCATCGCGTATTTTAGAGTTCACATTTTCAAATTATGACTTCGCACTAGTCAAATATAGCCTATAATCGTAAATAATATTGTTAATAAATCCAACATAATTGTGTAAAAAAATATGAACATAAGTGAAGATGTAAAGTTTACATAGGCACATGTTTTTTGTATCTATTACGATAAGTTCTGTTTTTATGGTTAATTGTATGCATGCTTACTTTATTTGACCTATAAAATTTTATGGGTATGGGTACACTGATAATGATAGGGACGAATAACTTCTTTGAATTTATTTATTGGTTTGTACCAGTATGGAAAACTACTTACAACCTTTAACATAATTAGTTATTAATGGAAAATAGTAGGGAGAACAACACTACTTTATTAAGAATTTGGCTATTGATCCCAATTTGGCTATTGATCCCAAAAGCCAATGCGAAAAATAACATTACAGTGCCTTATCAAGTCATTAGATGGTTAATGAGTTAAGGTGTGTTAAAATAAACGAGATACTTAGAATATCTAGAAAGATGTCAATCATGAAATTTGTAGGCACGTAGCATATCAGAAAAGACAATAATGAAGTTAAAGTTTATTTTTATTCGTGTAAAAAGCTATGGAATCTCTTTCTCATCCTCTGACACAATGCTAACTGCCATCAACCATTCTTTGCTCTTAAATATTTTAAATAGATGTTCAAAGTCAAATAATAGAAATATATGATTGACTCAAACATAACTATTTTATTACTCACCTAAAGTACACTAATGCATTGTTGGGTACTTTGCTTATTTGTAAGTTTTCAAGATCAAAAAAGTAAAGTTTGTTGATTTTAAAATATACATGTTACTTGTGCTATATTTACTGTTTGCGGAAAATTGTATCTTAATGGTGCTTCAGAAAGAACTAAGATAAATCATGGTAATTGACTAATGCTGATGTTAGCTTTAGTTACTTTCCTGAATACTTATAGAAATAGCTCCAACCTTTAAGTTAAACTAAACATTTGTATTACTTGAAATAGTTTTTGTCATACTGCACAATAAAGGTTATGTACATTACGGGAGTGAAGTAGTTCTTTTCACACTTAGGCTAGAGAATCTATTGATAACGTGGATATAAATTGCAAGTTTCTTTTAAATTTAAATGTATTGAATAATGTAAATGTATGTATAGTTTGTAACTATTCTGGTAGTGTAATCAATCAAAATTACGACATCAATTGCTTATATTTAACCGCAAATCTAGAAACCATTTTGGAAGACGATTTATAAGCTTGAAAAACATAAAAGAATAATTCTCGAGAATTTAGTAGCTTTAGTAATCCCATCCTCATTTTAAATTGTTAAATTAATTGTTATTTTGTTATATTAAATTGTTCATTGTAGCCGGATTGTTAATCAAAGTCGTTTCAGTTTATGTGAGCCACCGACAGATTATGCGAATCTAAATTACTAATTTATATGTGTTACACAAACTTTTTTGTCAAGGCAAACTGATGGAATTACTAATTGTGAGCTATAGCAACTGATACGACCTATCAACTTGATAAGCAACCACAAAATTAGGTAGAAAATTTACTTTTAGACACTAATGCATTCTGTCTGGCTCATACAACTACCTTCTTTTTAAATAAAAAAAATGGCGACAGATGATCCATAGAGATGGTAAGTCTATGCTTAAATTAAGCTGCAGTATGACAAAAGATAGTTCATTCCACAGGCCCAAATGTCTTTTCGACCATCGCCTACTTCCCTAGGGCTTTGAAAGGAGACTTTTAGCCCTAAAGAATCTATTTAGTATGAATTCAACTCAACAAAACCCAGTTAAGGTATATTTTAACAGTCGAGTTTCAAGCTTTTGCCTGTACGAAACATTTAGCTATAACTGACTTTTGAGACGACCTGCCTAACCAACGTGTGTTTCCTAAAATGTAAATAGTACACAGTTCTTTATATAGCCTGTCGAATCGCCATGTTGTACATTAGCTCTGAATGTGCCTAATGTTACCATTGTTGCTATGATACCGTAAAGGTCGCATTACGTTATCTATTCATCGTTATAAAACCTTCAAATTCAAGATATTCATTAGTAATCTCCAATCGTAGTATATATCTGTAATTGATAGAAGAGCACTGTCCTGTGTTTAGGGGAAACTACGATTTTCATGCACACCAGTGCTTTAACTTGTTTGCACTTTCAGTGCTTCCTTGTTGTAAAATGATGGATAGATAACATTCTACGACCTCTCCCCCTCCTTATAGAATTGTTTAATAATATAATTGGTTGGTTGTGGTAAGCGTTTTTTTTTTTTTTTTTTTTTTTTTTTTTTTTTTTTTTTTTTAAATTTGGTATTAAATATTGTTTAGACACTGCAATATGTAGGTTTTGGAAATTCTAAAGTTACCCCTTAATTTCGCATAAAAATATTAGATAGGAAATCAAAATGTTTTGCTGCTGCGCACTCTAATTTGCTCAACCTATTTAAAAATAATTTTAATTCTACGCCTACCTAAAATTTCAACATAGATTTATTTTACTCCGTGTCAATTGTATAATCCAAATGTAATTTTTTACATTATTTTATTTGAACAATCTTTACATCTTCTTTGATCAAAAGTCAACACACAACCGAATAATTTTGTTTACAATCTCTTAAAGTATGCAAAATAAAATATTTATTTTTTACACTAGCTGTTAATTTAAAACCAGTAAGTTAACAAAGCATAAATAACACTTACCACAATCAGTCAATGGCTTAAATTCTGTACGCACAAAATATCACTATCCTTTGTGCCAAACATATATGTAATCTTTATTTTTATTAAACCACAACACGAACCAGAAAAATATAATGAATCAAGTACGTAACATCAAATCTGGCAAAATCTTATTAATTCGATAGTAATAATTAAATTATGTGTATTAAACTCCATTATTTTATCCTATGTAGTATTTTGTAGTATTACTTCCTAAGAAGAACTAAAATTTTAAAATTCATTATAAACAAAACATGTTTGAAAAAAAAAATAAAAACGTCTCAAGGGGAGTCGCTACTGAAATCGCTAAAATTGTCATTTTAACTAATTTTTACTTTGTATCAGGCTTTTATACCTAAAAAATACCTAAAACAAATCAACTAAAATTAAAAAAAAAAAATTTTTTTATGTTCCCTAAAAGTGGGTTTTATTGTTTTTTCGGAAAATTTTAAAAATTGATATTTAAAGTAAACTATAAACCTTACACAAATGGAAATGGTATATTTTTGTTCAGCTTTAAATTTACTTTAATATCACGTATTTTTATTGTATTACAGAAACATTTCCTTTTTTTTTAATAACAGCAAATTTTAAGAATATTTTAAAATTTTTTAAAATTTTTTAATAATTTATATATACGAAACAATTTTACCAAATGGATTCAAAATACGTGTTCTTTTTAGGTTTTATATGCAAAAGGTGTGTACAAAATTTCATAACTGTAGCTCAATTAGTTTTTTTTTTTAATATAAAAGTTTTTAGGCTGAAACATGGAAAAACACAACTTTCGGGAAACAGAAGTTTTCCGGCAGATGTGTTTTACTATACAAAATAATTAGCATTTTTTAATAAAAAACCATTTTTGGTAATGTTTTTTTTTACAATGCCATGGTAACAAACAAATAAGAATGCAAAAAGCTATAAACTACAATTTATTTAGGGCTAAGTTGTGAATAACATATGCACATACCTTTTTATAAGCCTTTGGTTACATTAGCCTACTTGTCTTTGTCGCACCGTAAAACAGTTTGTTTTATTCTTTTTCTCTTAGGTACATGTATGTAAAAATGATTTTGGGTGGTTTTTATGATGAAAAAAGATATATATAATAACTTAGGAAAAAAAATTTGAATTTTTGAAGATTTTTCACTAATTTGAGTAGCGACTCCCCAAGTATATAATAATTGTAGATTAAAATGAGCTAGTTATCTTAATAAACGTATTCAGGTTATTAGCATAAAGACAAGCTATTAACCTGGCAAAATCCAAATATTTATGATATTTCCTTTTTAATTTTCGTTATTTTCTTAGTATTGCTGTTTAGTGCAAACTCCGGCAGTAGTATATCTTTCCAAATTTTTGTTTTCCACTTTTCAAAATTTTAATTATATATTTTGGTGGTGAAACTGAATCGAACACTCTAATATAAGCATCTTATTTAACAAAAAAATAATAATTCAGTTTTTTTTTTTGCAACTTTAAAAGTTCCTTACAACTAGTAAAAACATTTAAAACGTTTTAAAATTTGAAAACAAATTAATTCAGTTAACAAAAATAAAGTTAAGGGGCCAACAAATAAACTTACACGATTAATTTTCAAAATGCAAATTGTACTTATCCTATTATGTATTATTCCCATACCATCACTCTTTATTTCACTATGGTGTGATCTA